TCTAGTATAAAAGAGGAAAGAACTACAGCCGGCGTCACACAGGGACATTTAGATGTTTTTGATCATGTGCCAATGCCTTGGCCAATTAAACCGTCGAATAGATAGAAATAATTCTATAAAAAAAAAAAACATCTAATCATTAAAAGCATCTGAAATGATACCGAAGAGTCATAAAGGACAGATTTGAGATCTAATGTACAGGACACCCAGTCTCTGAAATGCGGTACAGGAAAAATACAGTACTTACCTTGCTGCTTCTCCTGTTCCTCTCTCCTCTCCTTTGCCACTCTCAGCTTGTCATCTATCCTTAGTGTTGCTCCATCAAGTACTGCAACACACAAATGCTACTGTCACTTTCACTCTCTTAGGAGCCACGGTCTGTTTGCCCACAGGTTATGTCTGCCAGTAATGATGACTTTTTTTCCTTTTCCCGGTACAGCTTATGCTTTCTCCTCTATATGGGATGCACTGTGATGGAGAGTGGTTATCTGGGAATCCGACAGGTCAATACTCTTGCTGTAAGCTGTGGGGGAACATCTGCCACTAAAAACTCTATTACACATCCGATTCTCGGGAGGATCTTAACAACAATAATGCTCCACTGAAAGCAAACAGGCACATTCCCCAGCACGTCCTCACCTCCCACTGGCAGTTTTTAAATTCAGCCCACTTCACGTGGCTCCATCTTGGGTGACTGCTTATAGTCAACGGAAGCATCAGTCTGCTAGGCATCATCAAGAGTGGCAACAACTCAAACATACAATTAATCTAGAAGCAAGAGAACTGATGCACAAGAAGGCTGGCACACAGCACCGGGGGGCAGTCTGGTGAGGAAAACCTGAGCACAAACAGCCTGAACCCAGTCCTCGGCCTGAATACCTCCAAGCTGCTTCCCCAATCCTCTCAACATAAGAACTAATGGACACATGGTTTGCATTCTGGGTCCTGGCAAAGCGGACAGTTAAGAGTTACCTGGCTTGGCGCCTGTCTTTGTGCCACCCCCTGAAGGTGCTGCCAGGCCCGGACTGCTGCTGGTCAGACTGCGCCGCTCCTCCGCTTGCGCCTGGGCTGCGGCAGCTGCCAACAGAGCAGGAGAGAGAGCAGGGCAATGAGCTGGCCGCCATCGAGCACAGGCTGCAGGGCCTGGCAATGAGCGAGCAGGCAGGTGTGTTTCTATTTTGTGGGATCGGGGG